TCGCGTCCTCTGCGGCACACGGCCAGGGGTGCCTCCTCTCCGACGTGCGTCCGGCCGTTGCTGCACCTCGAGCGCGCCGAAAGGGTGCAACAGAGGTTGCGGGGAAGCCTTGGACCACGACGGCTGCTGATGATGCGTGCTGACTTTGTTGACTCCACTCGCGCGACCGTCGCCGACAGACATGCCAAAGCCATCTGCAATGCGACGCATCCCCCACTCGACCTGTCCTGCACGTTAAACTAGCCCTCCGTCTAGCTTCTCAACACCAAGCCAGTTCCCACCACGACCTCACCGATGCTTCACCATATGACGAACACCGTCCATGGTACTCGTCCAAACACCTGCTCCTCCACATGGCCGTCCGCTGCATCCCTCGCTCGGCGCATGGGGATTTTGTGGAGAATGACGTTCTCCCCATCGATCGGAGCTTCAACAACTCGAGTAAACCGTCTTCGACTTCCAGACAGCCTAGAAGCCTGTTTGCGCAAGATAGCATCAAAGCACGCACATCGTAATAGAAAAAACACGCATGGCGTCTGTATCAAGGGCCCCTGTCCCATGCGTAACGCGTCCTAAACGTATTCGCCTTGTTAAATGCCATTGTTTTGACAAAGTAAAGGACTGCAGCAGTACCTTTACGCTACGTTTCGGTGTGAAGGTCGAGCTCCAAGATGCCCTTCTGCTAGTTGGCCCCGTGCTAATCATAGCTCACCCTAGAGCGAGCGAAGAACAGGCTATCTACGGGTATAGAGTGGAGATGAGATGGGGTTCAAAAGTAATCATATGCTTAGGGCCTTGGTGTAAACATCAAAAACCCGGCTTGTTAAACAGCACTCGTGCCCTCTCCTTGCCCTCTCAGCGGCATCTTCAACCAAGTTCTCGTCCTGTGGCAGTGGTGTGATACTGCATCAATCCCGCTTCTCGAGCCGCATCCAATTTCATTGCACGACGACTAAAGAAATGCCCTTTGTAGCAATCCGAAGATAAGCAGTAGATGCAACAACGGTGTGGCATACGTTGTCAGCCTACGCAACGTCGCACAGCATCCTCTTGACGGTTGAAACTTGTGCGTCCTCGCCTGGGCAAGGCTGAACAGCGCCTCTCTGGTGGCCACGAACATCGAAAGCGCATCCTATTCGCGCATGACATGTACGGAGTACCGTACATCAATCTCTTGAACATTTATCCTGTCCGCGGATTGCAGCAACCTAGGGGCTTATTTCCGGCAGAATGCATATCAATGATTCGGCTTCGTGCGATCGATCTCAGCGAAATATGTACGCAATGACGGTCCTCGCTCGGTGTTCCAGAGCCCCGAGGGGCGCGAAAGCGACCCAGTTTCTCTCAGCGCGTGTCGCAAACGTTTTACACATTTTTGCACTCTGTTTACACATTCCTGCACTGTGTGCTCCCTTATAACATGTCACTCCCTTGTCACACGTAAACTTCTCATAGTCGCTTTTAACAATATCTAATATGAGCGCAACACACGATGCAACAGCCCCAGCCGGGAATGCACACCTGGATGCGAACGCGCCGAACAAAGATCACGATATCACGAGCCCTTCTTCGACCGATGTCAGTCTTACTGAAAGAGATGGAACCGTACAAAATGGCGAGAAAAGTGTGAGAGAGGCCGAGGCTGGAGCGAATGGCGCCGCTGCTGCGCCGACAGCACCTGGTGCGCAAGACGGCGAACATCCGCAAAGAACAAAGCTGCAGATATTCTTGATCATGCTCTCTCTGGCTGTGGCAGTTCTTCTCGTCGCTCTCGATATCACAATCGTCACAACCGCTTTACCCACAATTTCGGCAGAGTTCAACAGCGCCTCGGGATACACATGGATAGGTTCAGCGTATCTCATCGCACAGTCGGCAGCCACACCAATTTGGGGCAAGATTTCTGACATCTTTGGGAGGAAGCCTATATTGTTGCTCACAAATGCAATATTTTTCGTGGGCTCACTCCTGGCAGGTGTGTCTGTTAATATGGACATGTTGATCGCTTCAAGAGTAATCCAGGGCATTGGTGGAGGAGGCCTTATCACACTAGTAAACATCGCCATCTCCGATCTCTTTTCCGTGCGAGATCGAGGCCAATATTTCGGAATTATTGGTGGTGTGTGGGCTTTGGCAAGTTCACTGGGACCTGTCGTGGGAGGGCTCTTCACGCAAAAGGTTTCTTGGAGATGGTGCTTCTACATCAACCTGCCTTTCGATGGAGTTGCTTTCCTCATCCTCTTATTCTTCCTCGATGTCAAAACACCAAGGACACCGCTCCGAGAAGGCCTCAAAGCTGTTGACTGGTTGGGATCGCTTACAATGGTTGGTGGAGTTGTTATGCTACTACTTGGCCTGGAATTCGGAGGCATATCACAGCCTTGGGACTCCGCGACGGTGCTATGTCTCATCATCTTCGGAGCCGTTGTCATTGGCATCTTCTTCCTCATTGAGTGGCGGATAGCGCCATATCCTCTTATGCCTCTTGACCTCTTCTCGAAGCGTTCGAACTTGGCTGCTCTGGCTACCTGTTTCTTCCACGCTTTCGTTTTCATCAGCGGCAACTATTTCCTACCGCTCTACTTCCAGGCTGTGCTTGGCGCAACACCCATCCTTTCTGGTGTTTATCTGTTACCTACTGCGCTGTCGCTATCGTTCCTTTCTGCCTTCACCGGTGTCTTCATTAAAAAGACTGGACAATATCTGCCCATGATCTGGTTTGGTATGATCCTGATGACACTCGGCTTCGGACTATTCATCGATTTCGACGTCAACACTTCCTGGGCCAAGATCATCGTTTTCCAGATCATTGCTGGAATTGGTGTTGGGCCAAACTTTCAATCCCCGCTCATCGCCCTTCAGAGTCTCGTGCCGGTAAGTTCCACCCAACGTTTCTTTTTCTGCTTCTGCACATGTGATCATTTAGCATGACGCTAGGAGCGGGGTTGTGGTAGAACGACCACATTTGCTATCATTTAGGTAATCGATGCTGACATGATCGCTTCTAAGAAACGCGACATCGCTACTGCGACCGCTACTTTCGGATTTACCCGTAATCTTGGATCGGCTATCTCGGTTGTTGTTGGTGGAGTCGTCTTCAACAACGAGATGAAGTCGAAACAGCCTCAGCTTGCTACTTCGCTTGGCCCCGAGACCGCAGCAAGGTTTGGTGGAGGCTCCGCTGGCGCCAATGTAGGGCTTATCCAATCGCTTCCTGACGAGCAGAAGGTCGTTGCGCGAAAAGCGTTCGCCGACTCACTGAGCACCATGTGGATACTATACGTCGCATTCGCAGTTGTGGGGCTTGCAGTCAGTCTGCTGATCACGCGCAACAAGCTCGACAAGCAGCATGAGGAAACCAAGACTGGAATTGAGGCTGAGAAGGCTAAGAGGCTCGAAAGGGAAGCTGAACGTGCAGAGAGGCGGAAGAAGAGAGCTAGCAAAGGGTCTTTGCCACTCGATCCTGAAGCGCAGGCGAGTGATCCTGATGTCTCAAGGGACAAGGAGACGACAGCATGATGATTTTGACCGAGTCCATGCATCGCCAATTTTGACCAAAAGTTCTGGTTGTAGATTGTTAAAGATACCACTGTAAATAACATTGTAATACCAAGCCATAGGGCTATTTGGATGTTTTAATCACCCCTGGGTACTATGTTTTCATTGACAGTTTGTGCCGCTTTGCAGACGATACAACCAAGGCATGTCTTGGGACAACCCAGCTTTTTCTACGTGAAGGTATTACACAGAAAGCCACGTCAGGTCTCAAACCAGTCACAGCGTTCCAGTCATGTTGCGTTCTTACTCACATGGTCACTCTCTCACAGGGCACGACCCTTTGCTGAGAAGTCTTTGTCGCTACCAATTTAGATAACAGCGCAGTGAAGTAAACAAAGCAACCCTATCACCCGCTCCGTCAACGATGTGCTTATCGGGGCATGTCATCACCGTGCAATAACATGTCAAGACATAGCCATGTTTCCAAGTACCACTTTGTTTTCGCCATGTGCTACTACCGCTTATACATATTTGTGGGATGCGGCCACTCGACTTCCTCAGACGCGCCGGTTGGGTACTGTAAGGACGCGCGTAGAAAGAAGGAAGAAAGGGCGAAGGACCCGATGGAGAGTCAAGATCGGGACACAGAGTCTGGAGGCGGTTGCAGGTGTACAGACTCGCAGATTACATTGTTGCCAGACGATGACTCGGAAGGAAGAGCAAACGTTACCATCACCTGTGACGATGCCTCGAAACTTCTACATCCCGGTACCTCAATGAGCGAAGATAGGAGACAGGATACACAGTCTATGCCTACTACCCACGTTCCCCTGCATTTGATCACAGATGAGTGGCCTGTTTCACTACCTTCACCTCCACCTACCACTATCCAAGAGGGTCATACACCGCCATCGAATTTACGGACAACAGGAAATGACACTGTTGAGCCATGCAGAGATGGTCGTGTACATCCTCTCCACACCATCAGGCTTGACCGCATATGCTCTGCCTGTGAGTGCGAGAGAGAAAGAAGACTCAGAGCGTTGTACTCATCAATGCGCGAGGTCAAAACTGATCTTACAAGATGGTATTGGAAATATCAAGGAAACATGAACAGGAAAGGCGCTGAGAATCAGCGGGCGGGTATGGGCTGGAGTGCTGGTGTAGGAGCGGCAGTAGGAGAATGGTGGGATCGGGGCAAGAAGGAGAACAGAAATGAGACAAGATGATTACAAGATAGTTTTGACCATGTTAAGATGGAGATTGCGTTGGACCTGTTCAAGATGCAAACACTGTGCAGACAAGAAAGGTGCAGCTGGTGATGCTTCGTCACGTGCACCAGCCGCCAATCGCAGCTCGGGCCTTTCAAAGCTCACAACATCACGACTACCACACCTCGCAACGCCGTCAATTGCCCCGTCGCACGACTGCTCATCACTCGACGGAGTCCTCGGAAACCAAAGACAGACACCCAACTCTGAACGCCCACTTCCGCCGCCGCAATGCCGACACCAGAGTCCGAACTCTTCCTGGCCAAAAAGCCCAAGGTTGCGCCAACCTTTGATGGGGTCGATTACGAGGACAACACTGCGCTCAAGGGCGCACAAGACGCTATCATCAGGGAGCAGTGGGTCAGGAGCATGATGGCGAGGCTGGTCAGAGAGGAAATGGGCAAGTGCTACCGGAGGGAGGGGGTCAACCATCTGGAGAAGTGTGGACATCTACGAGGTAGGCCTTCCTTGGTGTGTATGGGCTAGAAGAAGACTTGGGTCAACGAGAAAAGGGCTGGAGACGTGGGGCGGATATAGCAGTCCAAGGCCGTCCAATGGAGGTACGGACGTGACGGAGCGAAGGCTAACGAGTTGAACAGAGCGTTACTTTGAGCTCCTCAAGGACGCAAAGGTCAAGGGTTACCTCTTTGCGCAACAAAACTACGTCGACGATGCGCTCAAGCGATAAGCGGACCCGCCAACAACGGTGGTCACTTGTATAGAAGGACGGACAACGGGCAGACGATGCACGATACGCAGCGGAGAATACCACCAGCATGACGACAAGGGTTTATGGCGTTCGACAAGCATCTGCAGAAGAGATGCAACGATCCTCTCTTACTGGCGAATCTGTACATACACATGCCGGGGGAGGGACTGATGTAGCACAAATTATTGGAACAAGTGTGCAATTGCAGTGGTACAGTGCGTATATTTTCTTCTGGCTGACGTGATACTCTCGAGCTTGTAGAAATCCACTTCCAGGCGTATATCCATCTCTTTGTTGCTCCTACGCCCATGATATGATGAGACCAAGGCTAGCTCCTCAACCCCGCTACGACCGCGTACCTGCGTCAGCGACCGCTACGAACAGCAACAACAACCACAACAACAATCGACGCCCAACAAGATGCCCTTCCCCTTCGTCCTACCAACGACTTCCAGCATATCATTCACCGACTATTTCAACAGCAGCACACATCCATCCCTGCCAAACTGCGCAACCACTGCGCGAGGCGTCCTTCGTGACGTGCTCAAGCGACACAAGCGCATACCTCCTGCCTCACAAGCCTCGAACCTCTCCACGGTAACATCCGCCCTCAACGATTACATACCGTACCTGTTCGCCCTCGATGCGGGTCTGAGCGGTGCAAGCTGCGCGGGAGAAGAGATCGACCTGATCTTGGTCAAAGAGCTCGAGGTGGAATGGCGCTCGACACTGGGATCCTCAATACCGGGCCGCGAACCTGCAAGAGTAAAGCTCAAGAGCCTTGAAAGCGAGCTATGCTACACACTCTCCACATTGGCATACGTATACAGCCTCCAGGCTCGAGCACAACTACATACGCTCTACAACGCGACCGTACCCTCGCCCGAACAACGCGCGACGGCCATTGGTGCTGCTATGAAGCACTTTCTTGAAGCCAACTCTATACACACATACTTGGTGAACCGATCAGGCCAGTATAATTCACAGCCTGCCGCCATAGACATATCGGCATCCGTGCTGGGAGCGTTGGCGGAGCTGACCATGGCTGAAGCTACACTTATTACGGTGCTGAAAGATGACCCGTACCCAGCTGTGGTGATAGAAGACAGGAACAAGCAAAGTAAAGACTGGATGTTTAGAGGGTCCGATATACCCAAGGTCCGCGCCCATCTCTTCGCGCGACTGTGCCTTGCGTCGTCCGAACACGCTGCCAAAGCTCAAGCTATGATGGGACGGTCTTCCAAGGTCAACGACGACCTGCTGAAATACGTGGATGACTTGCGACGCACGGCAAAGGGTAAGGCCTGTCGGTTCCTCGCCTGTGATGCTGAAGCGGGTGGTAAAACAGGAGAGGGCATTGCGTGGCTACGGGGCGCAAAGAAGGAGCTTGGCTTTGCCTCGCTAGGTGCCGAGGAAGAGAAGAAGTCGTCTGGTTTCTCCAAACTAAAAAAGGAGTGGCAAGAGAAGAGAGAAGATCGTAAGATTGAAAAGGGTGTAGACTGGGGTACTGATGCCGGCAAATTCGAAGAGGGTCGGATTGTTGACATGTTGCTGAAGAAGTGGGAAAAGCAAAACGACACTGTATGTCTACTTGCTCCTTGTTTCGTCATGGAGTGTGGCTGACGATAATAGGTTGGCGTCCAACTGGTGCCTCCCTCGGAACCGTTACTCGCAAGCATGCCTTCTGGGCGCGAGTATCACACAACGAAGATGTTCATTGTACCAGCGTTAGACGAGGACGCTTTGGTTCGCATGCGGGCGCCTCCAGACCCGAGCGAGCCTTTCGAAGGCGCTGAAGATGATAGCGCGGACGAGGACGAACGCAGTCCTCCCGCTGGCGCTTTTCCAGGTACAAAAGCGGACTATGCACCAGGATCCGCCTACTACTGAGTCATGGAGATATCTAATGCGAACGATATGATTGATGAGTTGCGCCAACCAGGTTGCGTCAGCTTGTCTGCCTACGTGATTGATTCATGTCCCATACCCAAGATCTCTCCAAAACGCCTCAACTTCACCCGAAACATCCCTCTGCACTCTGCCTTTTTCCCATACATTGTCTGATTTGTTCAACATCTCGCTCCATTCATTCAACAGATCTCCTCTCTTTCCACGCCCAGCAAAGTGGACCAGATAATCGCCTCTTCTTACATGACGTTCGTCTAACCCTTCCACGTCCTCTCTCTCTTCGAACTTTTGTGCTCCGCCTTCTTCGTACCCATTGAACCAATGTTGTGGTACGAAGCGCGCTCCATCTCTGAACTGGTCGGTCTGTAGGACGTGTTCCATGGCAGATTGTTCGGTGAAGGGGAGGTCGACGCCGGGATTGTAGTGGCGGAAGGCAAGAATGGCTGTGAAGAGTTCAATCGCCCAACTGTTGACACGAAGTAGAAAGATACCGTTGTTGAGACCGTTCCAGTCCTTGGTCACAAGCATATGCGTTGTGTTCGCCGGAGTCTGTAGTTGCTCATCGTCGCGGCGCCACCACGAACCGAAGCGTGCTTTCTCTGGTGGCAGGAAGCTCGATATAGGGCGGCATTGGTCGAGAATGATGGTGTCTCGATCAACCCATTGAATCCACTCCAGACGTTCTTTGGCTGGTTTCAACATCTCGCGCATGCTAAGCGTGGGTGTACAAAGTCAATACATGTCTCACAAGCAGTTCGTTCAGGGACACTTACAGCAGGTTGAGTATGAAGGCCGGTTTGTTCCACAGGTCATCCACAATTGGATCGCACATCACTCTGACCTCGGTTCCGTGGACCAAGGCGTGGAGGAGGTGTGTCCGGAACGCTTTCTGGTAGTACTCCTTCGATTTGCCGAAATGAGCTGTGACGGTTGCGATGCGCACCCTTCCGGTTGCAAAAGGGGAGTATTTTCGACATGTAGCACGCTTTGTTGTAGCCTCTTCAATGAGTTCCGGTGAAACTTCTGGTAAACACTTCGAGTCACCGTGTGCAACGAACTGCGGAATGAGCTTCGGATGCGGTCGGGCATACTGGACAGAGAGGTTTTCTAGACTGGTCTGATTCCAGAGAAGGATAAAGGGGAAGCCGATGAGGAGGAATGATACCCAAGTGAAGAACTTGCAGTTGAGGAATCTCGGGGAAGCATACATGGCCTCGGAATGAATAGAAGTAGAAGTCAAAGGAAAGCTGCTGTATTCCTCGTTTGGAAATCGTGACATTTTATTGCTATTGGATGCCAGCTTGGATAAATAAGAAGGGGTAGAGAAGGGACTTGATCGATGTTTTCCAAGACACTGGTAATAGAACAAGCAACAGTGGGTGACGAATGCTGCGGCAATAATCTCTTGGAAGCCAGAGAAGCCGTCGTATGCTACAGTGTACTCGCACGCCTGCGGGAATCAGGTTGGGAGCCGACCTGGTATGGCGGCATTGGCATCTTCGTCCCAAGAGCTTCGTTGTGCTTGTCTCAAGCACAGAGGCGCTAGCTTTGACTACGTTTGTCGATTACGCTGCTAGTAGCCTATAGTTCTCCACGAGTGCATAATCGAGGCTTAGACTATGAACGAGGAATGGACGGAGTTTTCATCTGATGTGGTGGTTGCAATAGATACACGGCTCACCCACGGACATTGCAGAATTGACACGAATACGCGAACCTCGCACATGGTAGTCGTCTAGATGGTGTATAGCAAGCTGCTCATATTGGCAAAAGTCTATGATATGTTCCGAAGCTGACGAGCTCATTGCGATACGTGTTTCTGCTCGGGGAGATACCTTGGCCTCTCGTCAGTCTTGGCTTACCTGGCATCAGCGCCGCTGCTCCGAAGCATGTACGGAGCTGAAACAAACCAAAGCCTCCATGACAGTAACTCGGATTCATTTTGAGGCTGATGGTGTGTGAAATGGATCGAAGCGTCTTGACTGCCTTGGTATACATACGTAGGCAGTCCAAGGATACATAAAGTATACTCGTTTTCCAACACTGTGGTGCCTGGGTACCCACGGACACGTCGAGCCCGTGCATGAGCGGCAGATGGTAATGGGATTTCTAATTCTGTTGACGCTTTGTAATGACACGACTGCCGTGATGTCTTGGAGCATTCCGGAGCGACCGGATAGTGTGGTGAGGTGGAGGTGGATGGACGTGTCTTCGGCGCGAAAGACAGCCACGGTTCTCAGCAAGGAACGCATGCAGAAGCCATCACAGCAGCACACAACAGGTCCACGATCCATGTTATGTTGTTACATAGTATAGAGACAAAAAGAGGATCGTTCTTCCACTGTCGTTCCACAAGCAAGCGAGAATTGTCCCAATCCACGCAGCTGTGAGGCTAGAACCAGAAAGCAAAAAAAGGCAAAAAGAACATTGCTCTCCAGCGGGGAATTGAACCCCGGTCTCCCGCGAGTTGCCAGTTATGGTGACAAGCGGAAATACTGACCACTATACTACTGAAGATTGATGAAAAAAATATTGATTCAAAAAAATATATACTAAAAAATATCCACGATGTGTTGAAGTGATGCAAACCAACGCAGTTGCGTCATTCTCATCAAACCACAACGCGTACTTAAGCGCGTATTCGATCATGTCAAATTTTCCACCTCAGTTTAGACTCGAAACTTTTTCCAGCACCTACCTAACGCAACATAAAGCGTTAGCACTAGTGAAATGCGCCTGATATAAGAGTATGATCCCGTAGCCCTATCAATAACAAGAGTTCTAGCTGCTATTCAATCCTACTGTATCCCGCTCATTGTCGTGATCTGGTCCGTATCAGTCTTTATGAGCATCAGTAGTGCTGCTGATGACTGGAGCTTCGTCTTGTGCCTCGTATTCACGCACGCTTGCATTTCCCTCATCCTTCATGATCAGATTATATTCGTCACTAGAACAGACAGACGAGTTTCCCTGCAAGTAAAGATATCCAGCATGGTCCAAAGTTGATTACATATACTTTGATGCATCTATTCCTGCAGTCATGCACTCGGAACTATATACAGCGCCTGTTCCAAAACCTACTCGCTCCCACGCTAGTCCTTCACACTCACACCAGCTTTACTGGCATCCTTAGCACTCTGTTTCTGCATCTTTGGCACATCCGCTTCCTCTTCCTCTGAGGTCTCTTCCTCTTCCTCGCTGTCTTCTTCCTCTGAACTCTCTTCTGCTTCGTCTTCCTTAGCCTGTGTAGCTGCTTTCCCTTTTGCAGCCAACGGTGCAGGTTTCTTCTCATCATCGCTGTCCTCCTCTTCACTGTCTTCTTCCTCTTCGTCGCTATCTTCCTCTTCTTCGCTGCTCTCTTCCGCAGCTACAGTCGCCTTCTTCTCTATTTTTCCTGGGACCTTGGCTGCAGTAGCTGGCTCCTTCGCATCAGCTTCCTCCTCAGAACTCTCCTCCTCGGATTCTTCTTCTTCGCTTTCTTCGTCCTTTGTCGAATCTATCGGTCCAGCACTAAGCGCAGGGTTCTTCGCATCGTCGTGCATCGAGGAGGGCCCATGTACAGGCTTCTGCAGATCCGAAAGCTTGGGGATACTCGGTTGCGCAGCTGCTTTTGTACCCTTCGTGCTCTTTGATTTTGCATCTTTACTCTTTGTGTCTTTGCTACTTGAGGATTTCGATTTTGACTTTGCTGGAGCTTTTCCTAGGCCAAAGAGACCTCCCGTGGGTTTTCTCGTGGACTTGGACTTTGCATCTTTCGAGGATGTGGTTTTTACTTTAGTATCTTTTGTCTTGCTGTCCTTTGCTTTTGCGTCTTTTGCCTTTGCGTCCTTTGCTTTGGTGTCTTTGTTCGTGCTCGGTGCAGCGGCCTTCGCGTCTTTGGTCGACGTACTCGAGGTAGCAGGCTTGGCTTCTGTTTTGGTAGTGGAGACAGCAGGCTTTGTGTCTTGAGTCGTGGTCGGTGTAGCAGGCGTTGCAAGCTTCGGCGTCTCAGGTAGTGGGACAGACTTCGGCGAGAGGATGCTACCAGGGTCTTCTTTTGTGGGGCTCTTTTTCGACGTCGCTGAGGTGGGTGTGTTCGTCTTCTCTGCCAGCAGGGGGTTTGTAGTTTTGATGTTACTTGGCACGGGCTTCAACGAAGCGGCCTTCTTCGCGGCTTCAGCACCTAGCTCCCGGAGCGCCAGGTTTGTCTCCAGACTAGGTGTGACGACATTCTCCTTCTTTGCAGCTGTGCTTGTGGATGAGAAGGAAGAGGTGGTGGTAGCTGGTGCAGCCATAGGCGGGGGCCCGGGTTTCGCAGGGAAGGGCGTGAAGGCTGATGTGACGCCCAACGCTTCTCGGATCTCATCGTATTCGTTCCATTCTTCGATCTCTGTAATGCCCTATGTCACATCGATTAGCCTTCCCGTCCTAGCTACGTGCCGCGTTCTGTACCTACACCCAAGACATATCCTTCTTTGACTATCAGAGGGAGCTTCTTTCCGCTCGCTCTCCGCTGGAATAGCTTCTTTGCGAGCTCATCAGTCGCAGTATCTACTCCTTTGAACGGGATCTTGTTCGCTCGTAGGATTGTTTCAATTCGCGAGGTAGCTGTGACGATGTGGGAGGAGCCGGCGGTCAGGGAGGTGAACAGGTAGATGGTCGGATCGTTATCATAAACACTTGGAGACACGGAGTCAGTGTATGTCTCACATGCATTTCGTAGTCACAACTCACCTGAGCTCCGCCATGATAGGGACAGCGAAAACAAGCTCGGTGGGGGATGGGCAGGTTCGTGATCGGGGATGTTTTAACAGCAGAAACAGAGAAGTCAAGACAACAAACACGTATATATTGACGAGGGGTTTATAGAGCTAGACACGACGTGTTGCGACGTAGTTTCACCAACACTCAAGTTACAGGCTGACGCACGGACTGGACCCTGCTTCTGCGCTCCCTAGCGCAGGAGCAGGGGGGTCTTAGATAGTGGGCAATCGCTACATCAACATTTAACAGCGTGTTATGACTGTGTTCGCTTACTAACATTCTGTCCAACGCCACTATAACACTATTGCAACACTTTGATTAACACAACATGACGATATCCCTATGGGCAAACCCTCACCTCGCGCGCTACGGCAGTGCCAATCATAATAGAGACGTGAGGTCAACGTGCTTATATTATTGCTTATACCGAGCGAGTGACATTACATATTATCAGAAAAAAGACATAACTAGTACTTCGTTTCTCTTGACTAGACATTATGCGGGCGTAGGACCATTCGAGAATTTGCCAGCAAGAACAGTCATCAGGGCGTCGCTGACTTCAAACTCCTCAAGGACTGCGCCAAAGCTAGCCGATGTCAGTAAACACTCTGGTTCAATCGTCTGCCTTGTTTTCGACGTACCCGTAGCAGCGGACTTTGGCAAGGAGCTCTGTCTTCACGAGCTCAATGTCTTGCTTGGAAAGATCCCGAATGTTCTCGTCTTGTAGGATCTTCGCCCAGGCCATAATGGGCGTGATCTCCCCATCAAGGGGCAGACGGTTGCTCAAATCGAGCAGCTTCATCAAGTCCGGCATCTTGACGTCCGGCATCTGATGTGGATACTTCTCCTCGGGGCAATTTGCGATATGCGCGTCGGGAGGGGCGGTGGCCATGAGCGCATGACCGCTAATGTTTTCGTCGGCGTCGTGGGCGCGTACCATTAAAAACTGCATGTGATCCATGCAAGGTCGCTCGAGCCTGTCAGACGCAATCGTCAGAACAGCGCGTGTAAAGATAAAGAATAACGTACGGAAGTCGAACAGAACGAAGAGAAAAGACGCAAGCGCATTACTGCTGGGGTGGAGGAGAAAGATAGGGCGATCGGTCGTACGTTAAAACGAAGTCTATCCCAATCTGGTCATAGTCGAGCCCATGCTGCTGTTGATGATGTGACTGTTGGGCTTGTTGTTGTAGAGCCAAGGGCTGGCCACTCATGCCATCATGAGAAACTGATCCGCGTGTTGGTGGTGATGTGTAGCCAGTCGACGCTGATCCTGGCCCATAGCCTGATACGCTACCCGTAGAACTTCCATAGGCAGAGCTATCAACTCGACCCATGCCGTTGCTTGCTGGGCTGGAAGTGTCGAAGGAGATTCCATGCGCCATAAGCAATTCTCTCAGTCGCCGGTTCTCTTCTGCGAAAGCGTCTCGTTCCCGAGACGTAGCGGCGAACGTGTCCTTGAGACGTATCACCTCCTGTTCAAGAGCTTTGATATACAGCTCTTTTCTTTCCCGGTGTGTTCTTGTCTATGGGTCAGTGTGTGATATCGCGCGTAGCATTCCTGAGTTTACCTTTGTGCCTGGCGGTTCAACTCCTGTCGCCGTGTCAAGGCAGGTTTGCTGTCCGGTTTAGGTCCTCTTCTCTTTGGCGGTTGACCATCTTGCAAGAGTCAGTAACCGATAGAGCCAAGACCATGGTCGACAAACCTCTCGTAGTCTTCTTGTCGGTCAGACTCTTGAAGAATCCAAATTGCGCTAAAGGACTTTTTGATTCGCTGCCTATAGATTGCCACTGCCCTGTACTCTCCATGTCCGACGCAAATCCAGCCAAGCTGCCTCTCCTGCTGCTGCTCATACTCATCTCAGAGAAACACTCGGAAGGTCGACGAGAAGCGGCAGGAGAAGGGTACTCGTTGGCAGCGCCGGGTGGAGGGTAGGTGGGCGCCATGGTCAGCACGTGCGCATCGGGCCAGGACATATAACGAGCATGCGACATGGTGTTTCGGTATTATGCGAAGGATTAAGAAAACAAAAAGAAATTAGGTATGTGTATGTGTGATAAGCTTGGACGGGAAGCGAAAGTAGTGCAGCCATGTATATGTAGTGTCTCCGGAGCCTTGTATCGACTGAGGCACACAAGAGTTCGCATGCTGGTTTCTCGTTCATGCGCCGTTGTCAACGTCCGGCATGCAGGCGAGCCGTGAGGCACGTGTGTGCAACGTTCATGCCGACACCGGTAAAGCTTGCCTTGACGAGACTGGTCTTGTCTCTGCAGCACGTTTGCGGGAGTGGGGTGAAGACGCAAGAGTGCTTCAACAAGTGCGGACCAATAGTGGAGAGCGTCTCCGCGTGCCAAGAACAAGGTGTAGGAGTCGCGAAGCGGAGACAAAACAGATCCAACGTCAAAACACCGAGGGATTAAAGCACTGTATAATGCCAAGAGAGAGCCAACATACCACTGCTATTGTTGTGATAATTCGCGTCCCCAGAGGAGGGGTCGGTCTTGATAGTCGTAGCCATGCTATGTGAGCTGCATTGATCAACACGCACACTTTATGGACAAAACGGTTGTCTCTTTCGGCGCTGAGTTGGCGGATAGGCCGGCCGTGGAAATACAGTGAGCAACACGCTAGAGATTGGTCAGTTTACAAGTCAACGTTGAACCCTTGCGCACATCCGAAACGTACAGCTGTCTGTATCGTCGGCGCTCAACTATGACGACTAGACAGGCCGCGGTGAGCCGCGTCTTCGTGGTGGATTGACCGAGCAAGAAGAGTTGAGGCTTACATCAGGTTCTCACTGTTGCCGAGGTTCAGTTCCTGGTGCTTCCGAGTTGAGCGAAAGGGCGATGATGGGGAGATGGACGTAATGGGCGACGAGTGGTCGACGCAATTGAGACAAGCGATGGTGCTCTTGGCGTCGCAGAGTCGGATGTAGCACAGCAGAGGGCAAGCTGGTCTGAAGGATGTGTCAGGGATAACTCTTACACTTGCAGTGCGATGTTCAACGCGATTTAGTAGCAAGCCAGGCACGAAATAATGCACTACGCACTGGAAGATCGTCGGCGGGAACACAGCCCAAGCTAACGATTTGGAATCTGCGCGACTCCGGGCCTGGAGGTTGGAAGATGAGGCGGTCAGTGCACAAGATCGAGCCGAACAGCTTTTGGGTCAATCAGAGCCAGGGCGCGGAAGCAGCTTGAGATCCGCTGGTGTTTAGCGGCTCGAGTCTGCGGCTCTGCACCTCGTCCGGTCTAGAGCTTGCAGACGGCTGACGGTGCAGTGGCGCGATGCGATACGTAATATCCCAGCTTCACAGTGCAAAAAGAAAGGGTCGGTACGCAAAACCCGGCGGCTTTCGTGTCATGTACTTTGTTGAAGGCCTGCCGTAGCCACTCTTGGCAGACCTCGACCCCGACAAGTCTCGGGGGACATCTCTTCCTGTGGCGAGTGCATCGTCCTCTACCACACTTCTTTGTGTAACATGCATCCACTTAGAGAAGCGTTATCCTTCCCCGTACGGTCACGTTGTGCAGTACGTAGAGCTGCCGCCGCAGCCCAATCGCCACATTTTCGCAAACCGACCTCCTACGCCATAGCGCGTCTATAGCACTCAGCTCGACGCATAAGATTAGAAAGCAGTTAGAAAGCAAATCATGGACCCCTAATACGTTCGACACAACTGAGGCTGTCGATTTAACTTCCATTACACTACATAAGCTACTCTAGATCGGTTGGGTACGCTGCGGGCTTTGACCAGGCCTTACAGCCGTATCGGAGGACCTTACGGCTTGTTGTCGAGGATCTTCTCAATCTCCTCCATGAGCTCCGGTGTCAACTTGTCGAGCAACTTGATAGCGCCACAGTTGTCCTTGACCTGTTCGGGCTTCGTCGCACCAAGAATGACTGTAGACACATTCGGGTTTTTGGCTGCCCAAGCAAGAGCAAGCTGAGTAGTGGTACCTCCTAGCTTTTCCGCAATCTTGGTTAGCTCCTTGACCTTCTTGATCTTAGCCTGTCCCTCTTCACTCTTCAGCGCCTCGATTGAGTTCTTGAAGAATTCGGGGTTCGTGGCGAAGCGAGAGTCCTCAGGAATACCGTCATTGTATTTACCAGTCAGCATGCCTGACGCCTAGAGATTGGTACATGAAGTCAGTAAATGTGTCGCATGCGGTTCATGTAGGGTTATTGTTTACCAAAGGTGACCAGATGGTCGTTCCGTATTGGTACTTCTTGTACAAGGGTGCATATTCCTTCTCGAAACGCTCACGGTGGAAGGCGTTGTACTGGGGCTGCTCGACGATAGGGGCGATAAGGTTGTACTTCTCGGCAATGTCACATGCCTCCTGGATCTGCTCTGCAGACCACTCGGAAGTTCCCCAGTAGTATGCCAGGTTCATCTGAATAGTCTGGGTGAAAGCTTCGACAATCTCCTTCATCCCGACGCTAGAGATACATCAGCTCGCAATCGAAGAAAATGACTGGATTGTTGCATACTCAGGATCGTAGCGGTGAGCAAAGACAACGTCAACGTAAGAGTGATCAAGACGCTTCAACGAGCTCTTCAAGCCCTCGACGATGTGCTTCTTGGATAGACCCCTACATGTTCATTAGTCAAGTAAAGGTATGTAAAGCATATGTCTTACCTAGTGTTCGGCTCCTTCCTCTGGGTTCCAAAGAAGACCTTCCCAATGTTGTTAGCCTAGATTCATCGCATTTCGACACCAAGCACATCTTACCTTTGTGGACAAGACATACTCGTCGCGTGGCCATTGCAGCTCCTTGAAAGCCTTTCCCATTTCAAGTTCGCACTCGCCAGCTGCGTAGACCTCTGCAGTGTCAAAGAAGTTGATGCCATGGTTCCATGCTTCTTGCATGCAGTCCTTCACGATGGAACCTTTTTGGGTTCCTCCGTACGTCAACCAACCTCCAAGGCTCAGAACCGATACCTTCAACCCAGCGGGTCCCAGGCGACGGAACTGCATGCTAGATTTACATCAGCCAATGCTCGAAGGAAACGGATATAAAGATACAGAGCTTCAGGCTGCAGATTGAGGATAATCTACTCGACCAGCCAAACTCATCTGCATCATAACAATTGACATGCAACTCACTCCTTGGGGTCAAACTTAGTCTCGACGGCAGGCATTTTGGATATGAGGAATGATCTGATAAAAGTGAAGTTTAGTTGGATAAGATTTCAATCGCTGGAACAGAGTGCAATGAGGGGCAGGATGTATCCAAGCAACTTGGTGGGGCAATCCTGCCGTGGTGGCGGATCAACACCAATGATGTCAATCATTGCAAATGTGGCAGGCAGGACCGGAGTTAGCCTACAAATTCCGTATTAGCGGCACTTGCAGCTGCTGGAAGGCGGTAGAATAGCCGTAGGCCTCGGAAACGCGACTGATGGTTTGGGGGACTTGTGCTCCCTATAGACTAAGCGCTGGAGCGGCGCAAATGTCCCCTTTGCTGACGGCTTTTAAAGTGGGGCGGCTGCGGCTGAGGAGCTGCCTGACACAAGAGCATAGGCATGGAACAGCATCCTTCCGTCAGCGGCCAGCCACGAGAGATCATCTCGCCTCCGTCGAGTGCTTTGTGCCACAGAATTCGCCTTACAATCTTGTTGTAGTGGTACTAGAAGCGGGTATAACTCCTGTCGGTCGGTATTGGCAAAAGCTTGACCTCGCTCGTTTCACGTTTCGAAACACCCCCGGCCGGTCATTGACGCACACCCAATCACAGTCGCACAACGCGCATTCACGTGCATTGTTCGTCACCTCGACAAGCAATGATTGGCAGTGACTTCTCATTGATCTGGTGCCATTGTAGGACAGGGTCCTGACTATCATGCTGACGGGCTGTTCGAAGGGAGGCCTTGAGGCGCACCGTCTATATCTTGGCCGTTCCCCTTCCTTCACTACACTGCCTCCTCACGGTCTCTCAATCCCTTATTTAGATCACTTGTTTCTGCTGGGCTGAAGCGTATTCAATTCAACGTCACTCATTTATAAGACACTGTCCCCGCCGTTCACTTCAACAGAACATCAGAATTCAAGAGTTCACGAGTGTCCCTTTGTACTTAAGGCCTCCTCACCCTGAACCAGAAATACCTTCTAGAATCCCAACAACTCAGCCTCGTCAGTCGACCTCTACACTAGAGCATCACAATCCACCAACCTATAAACAACATGGGTTTTAAGAAGAACATCCTCTTTGCAGGTGCCTTTGCACTCTGCGCCTTTGCGGCACCTATTCCTGACTGCCCCGACGACGTCCCAGAGACAGATGCAACAGAGTTGACCGCAGCCAACTTGATCGCCATCGCACCCGCCACCCAATCCTGCGCCGGTGCGGATTTCCCTGATGAATGTGCCGATGCGACACAAGCTGCTACCGCTCTCAACAAGGCTTTCGATACTTACAAGATCACCGCCAAGGGCGAGAAGGCTGCCATAGTCGCCTATGAGATTTTCGAGAGCGGTGACTTCAAGTACAAGAAGAACCATTTCCCAGGCCGACCTGGTCAAGGCACGAGGAGTAAGTAAAACCGTCAGGTGGATCGCACGTGGAACACGAACTGACTTTACACCCGTTTAGTGATGGCGATGCCACCGTTTGTCGAGAAGTACGCTACCGATGTCGCCGGCGCAGACGCTGTGACCCAAGCAAAAGCTGCAGGAGAAAACGCCGGTTTGGAGGCAGTACTTGCTCTGGTCAACAGCGACGATGAAAAGAGCTTTGGAAGTGCAGCGTGGTTCGTTACCACCCAGTGCAGTGCAGACGTTCGGGCTGGTCTTGTCGAAGGCACTGTAGATGGCTGGCACAAGTTCTTGACTGACTGTGTTGGCACATCGCTTGATCCTACGCGTGACACTCCTTGGACTGCTGCCACAGCTACCATCCAGTAAGGGTATTAGGACACGTTCAAACGCTGGTTTGGTACATGGGGTACTTGTTGCATAGCGCGATGGCTTTGAAAAGCTTCTTCTATTCTCATTATGGTTCACGGAACTTTTTCGTCATTACGAAATTTTATGATTTGTTTGTATAACTACCTTGAACGATGCTCATCTCATGTGCACTATAAACAATGTGTTACAGAGTTTGCATGGTTCTAATTCAACATCGATTTTAAGCACATGCTCCTCAACGAGGACGAAAAGACCGTGAGTGGTAACTCGCATTTTAAGAGATCTAGAATGCGCACGCGAGTGGACAAATAGTACTTGATGATGAACTATGTTTAAATATTATGGTAATACATACAGGCCAGCAGGAAACATAAGCTAGAATATTGCACTGTCTGAAGAGAAAGAAGAAGTCGCTACGAAGGCTAAATATATACAAGCAGATATGAGCATCGAGTCCCTCACGAGGACTAGGAACACAGCTCCACCCATTCTTTCAGAGCGGTGATACCTCGCCCCAAGCACCAATGTCCTCTCTGGCCATAGCCTCTCCGCACTCAGGACATGTACATGCATCGAATCCATGTGAACTTGCACACTGCCTAACCCACGACTGTAGACATCCGACACAAGTTGCAGGTTCGTGCCAGCAGTTCGCCGTTATCCTGCGCTCACTAAACTCCCATATAGGTTTCGCCGTCTTGCACAGGATACACGTGCGTTCAATAGCTGGCGTGTTGCGTCGAGAACTAGGTGTTCCTGCTCGAGGGCTCACGGAGACGTCGAAGGTAGGGCGCTGATGTTGTTGTGGAGCTGTGCAGGTAATATTTGGAGAAGGTAGGGCGATCATGCTGCTGCGCTGTGATTGCATCGACAGAGGTCGTGATTGCATCGAAACCGGACGTACTTGCGAGACGTTCTCGACGGATAGCCGGGAGTGCATCGTGGTTGGCGATAGCGAATTTCCGCTGCTGCGGCGTCGGTCTGCGGAGGCAGCGGGACTTGGAGGGCCATCAGCCCAGGGGGCGAAGGGTGCTGGAAGGGGTGCTTCGAATTGGGTGGATTTAACGCTCAAGTCAAAGGGAGAGTAGGTTGGTGTTGGGATAAGATCGACGGTCGACAGACGTTTGGATGCCGTTGGGTCTTGGCTCACTTCGGTTTCATAGACGTGCAGATTTTCTTGCGTCAGGTTCATTCTCCGTAAGTCTTCAACTACGGTTGCGAACTTTGCTGGCTCATGTGTAGCTGACGAGTCTCTTCTTCTAGCCCCAAAGTTCTTCAATGCTTGCGGTATTGTCGACCATCTGTGTTTGATCTTCTTCTCTGGCTTGCTCTTTTCTTCGATGGCATCAAAAGCATCCAACGTGGAATGTATCGGCGTCGCTGGCGTGGCCGAGAACACTGGTGGCGGGGAAAACGCAAGTTTCGAAGATGTTACCGGCGTAGGTGGCCCGACTTCATCATCTCCGTATTGTTGGTAAACCATATCGTTCTCAATATTCTCGCCTGAGACAGCTTTGGGTATACTCCCCGACATGGGCCGAGAGGAGTTCATCGGGTAGCTGTTGTTTCTTAGCCCGCGCGAGGAAGCGATCTTAGCGCCCGAGCGATTTCGTTGATGGTAGGTTGCGAAAGACGTAGGCCGCGGTCGTGATTGCATTGGTGGACTGTCGAGTGCAGTAAAGCTTTGAGGATGGTATGAAATGGGACGTTGCGTTTGTGAGACCTTCGGGTCGTTTATCGGGGGGTATGTCCATTGCGAAGGGTGTACTTGTGGCCTCTCACATTCGCAGCTACCCCGTGAGGAGATGCTACTCCTTGGCTTGTCTGGACTATCAAGGGACGACGATGCAGGGCGCTGACCTGGCGTGTTGGGGCTCATCGTGGAAGGGGAAGCAATCCATTCGGGCGATAGCAGGTGTTGCGGATTATACGATACCGGTCGTGTGAGTGGGAGTGGTCGTCGCTTGATGAAGGATGTGTCGAGTTTCGCGTTCGGGGTTGTTTCCGGGAGCTTCCTCAAAGTTTCTTCGGGATTGAAAGATGAAGTCGGACGATCCGGGTTCGTCCATTTGTCCAATAGATCAGAGTCACTGTCTGCCTTTGGTTTCTCTTCGACAACCTCTGGGTTCTCCTCGATGACCTTTGGCTTCTCCTCAACGACCGGTGGCCTCTCCTCGGCGGCCTCTTCCTCCTGCTCTTTCGTTACGTACAAACGATGGCCCTGTTCTTGCTCGACATCGGAGACCTCCAAATGCTCGTACATCGGTCGTTCTAACCATCGTGTTGTTACCGACTTCTCGCGTTGTAAGTTTCTCAAAGCTTCCTCAGAGTCTGCGATAAAGCCAAGCATGCGCTGCGCTCTTGCAGAATCCCTCTTAATCGGCCTTGGATGCCTCAAAAGTGGATGTACGTCATCCTGGACATGACTCTGCGCCACAGCCGCCATTTTTTTGAGGCCGTTCAGCCGAAACGAGGGAGGCCTGAAGAAATACCAACGACGGCAAACGTGGTTGGGGAAAACGAAACAGTGGGCACGAGCAACGCAATAAATCAAGAGGCAGGATTAACCCCTCGTAACGACGTGGGACAGCGTCCCTCCATTATCAGCAGCATGCCGCGACCTTACCACTACCACGGACCCCGGCACGGTACGACTTTACTGTGTGGCTGGCAGCAGCATAGAACCGATCTGCCCGTTTCAAGCCCTTGCGCAGAAAGCCCGGAGCTGCGTAAATCACCGTTAGCTTGGCTCGCGCAACACTGCGCCTTCGATTATTCGTTGCTAGGGCCCGTATTGCGAGGCCTGCAGTCATGATAGTTCGGCGGTTTTGGGAGGTCCCCGCTGGGTGAGACGTATTTTTAGAATCAGTAGTAGGGCCTGGTGGGTTTCTGCGGATAACCCACGAAGTGCCGCGAGGCTTGGGGCCACGAAGAACCTCCCTTGCAACGACTGCAATCACGTCGACGTCAAAGTACGAGGTTTAATGATGACGAAGCATAATTCGCGCTGGCGGTGTGAGCATCTCGTGATGGCTGGCGCAATCTCAGGTAACGAAGAAGATCAGCGAGCCACATAATCGACTGACGAACAGTGCCCGCTGTTGTGCCAGTGCTTCGTTTTAGTTTGTCAAGTGGGTCCGTTGCCTCTGGAGCTCAAGACAACAGAAGAACTAGAGCTCCTCGGCTTCTTGGAATTATTTTGGTCAGGAGTAGCCACTCCGCGTGCTACCCAACGTAGAAGAGACGCGCATGCAGGCGAGGCGCCACCAGGGCGACAGAACTCAAGGCTGAGCAGTCCAGCGCTATCTTGCGCCTTCGGAGATCATGCAGCACATGGCGATGACTTTCCGGACGATCACAAGAAGCAACGCGTCGGCTCCGCATTCTTGCAGGCTCTTGCAGCTTGCATCTGTAGGCGTCAAGTAAGCTGGTACTTCACTTTGCGTTAAACCCAAGAACAATGCACGCATGAACCGGTTTGAGTGGACGGGTAAAGCTAAATGGCCTACGTTCGCCCGTTGGCAGATGGGTGTGCCGCATTTCGATATATTGCGAGGCGGACTAGGGTACCGGTCGTAGGCACACTGAGAAGGATGGCCACGCCGCTTGGCTTGAGTGTGGCTGGTATTGATGAAGTCATGTCTGAGAGCCTTGCAGTGGTGTAGCCTGGCGACGTTTTGTGCGCCCGCGTGCTGAGACGACTCCAAGCCATGAGTTTCGAGAGGCATGGGAGGGTGGGTGACTAAGCTAGATGCGCTAGCACCAATGCGGCCGCCGCCAAGCAGGGCATCGCGAAACTTTGGAGAAGCTCACAGGTTGCCATCGCCTCAATCACCCCAACCCCAACCCAACCGTCACAACCTGCTGCAAAAATGGCCGGGCCGCGCGCAGGAAACTCGAGGGCCAACGGCGCCGCCAACGGGGACACGTCGAACAACAAGCAGTCGCTCAACGAGCCCCTCGATAAGGAGCTGTACGGCGGAAACAATGGCGACTACGTCAGTTCCATCGCCGTTGCCGACGACGACAACGACATGGAGGACGTCCAACTGAATGGCCGGAGCCTTGTCGGACAGTACACAGCATCCAAGGAGATGATGAACGAATTCGCGCACGGCGATGCGGGAGAGGCGGATATCCTCGACAGTCGCGAGAAGCAGGCTCAGATCGCATCACGCGAGACCGACTACCAGCGACGGCGATTCGACCGCGCACTCTCTCCATCGCGGGCAGATCCGTTTGCCAAGGATGGCGAAGACGGTGGCCAGTCGTACAAGGACGTGATGAAGCAGCGCGAGTTTGAGCGCGAAGAAGCGCGTGTAAAGAAGTTGATCGAGGAGAAGGAAAGGACGGGGGGGAACGAGGTACTTGACCACAAGCCTACGCTCAAGGACGATGAGTCTACTCCCGTCGATGGCGACAAGACTCCGCCGATGAAGAAGACTCGCAAGAGGAGACGGTGGGACGAGGCTGGCGACGCCGAAACCCCTGCGATCAAGGAAGAGGCCGACGGCGTCAAGGTTGAGTCGGAGCCCAAGAAGCGGTCGCGATGGTCACCTGCGCCCGAGGACGACAAGGTCGAGGCCGCTCAGCCAACCCGATCACGTTGGGATACCACTGCTGTAGCCCCTGCCAGCACGGCAACACCCGCTCCCGCTGCGAACGGCGCCCGTCCAGTTGCGCAGACATTCGCATTCGGTACCGACATCTCGAACCGCAATGCTCCCCTGTCCGATGAGCAGCTCGACATGATGCTTCCTGGTGAAGCCGAAGGATACAAGGTCCTCGAGGCACCTCCAGGGTACGAGCCAGTGCGGCGGCCGGTGGGCATGCCCGCACTTCCAACAGGATACCAGGGTTTCTTGATCCCAGAAGCAGACAACAGCTTGGCTGCCATGGGCAAGCAGCTGCCTACAGAGATTCCTGGCGTTGGTGATCTGCAGTTCTTCAAGAATGAGGACATGAAATACTTTGGAAAGCTCACAGATGGTGCAGACGAGAATGAGATGACAGTGGAGGAACTGAAAGAGCGCAAGATCATGCGACTGTTGCTCAAGGTCAAGAACGGAACGCCGCCTATGCGAAAGACTGCACTTCGACAACTAACAGACAACGCCCGGCAGTTCGGCGCAGGAGCTCTCTTCAACCAAATTCTGCCGCTACTGATGGAGCGCACGTTGGAGGATCAGGAGCGCCATTTGCTTGTCAAAGTTATCGATCGTGTTCTTTACAAGCTCGACGACCTTGTCCGACCCTACGTTCACAAGATCCTCGTTGTTATTGAGCCTCTTCTTATCGACCAGGATTACTATGCACGTGTCGAAGGTCGGGAAATTATTTCCAACCTTGCAAAGGCTGCTGGTCTCGCCCACATGATCAGTACAATGCGTCCAGATCTAGATCACCAAGACGAATACGTCCGGAACACTACCGCTCGAGCCTTCGCCGTCGTCGCATCCGCCCTGGGTATCCCCGCTCTCCTCCCCTTCCTCCGAGCTGTATGTCGATCCAAAAAGTCGTGGCACGCGCGTCACACTGGCGTGAAGATTGTTCAGCAGATTCCTATATTGATGGGTTGTGCTATTCTCCCTCACCTCAAGGGACTCGTGGAGTGCATCGGCGAGAATTTGAACGACGAACAGCCAAAGGTCCGCATGGTCACAGCTCTTGCGCTTGCTGCCCTGGCCGAAGCTGCCAGCCCGTACGGTATCGAGTCCTTCGACGACATCTTGAATCCTCTTTGGACCGGAGCTCGTCGCCAACGTGGTAAGGCTCTTGCATCTTTCTTGAAGGCTGTCGGTTATGTTATTCCACTCATGGACGAGGAGTACTCCAACTACTACACGAGTCAGATCATGGAAATTGTCATCCGCGAGTTCCAATCGCCCGACGAAGAGATGAAGAAGGTTGTGCTCAAGGTCGTTTCCCAGTGCTCGAACACTGCAGGTGTAACACCAGTCTACCTCAAGGACAATGTTCTGCCTGAATTCTTCAAGCATTTCTGGGTGCGCCGTATGGCTCTCGACAAGCGCAACTACCGACAGGTGGTCGACACCACTGTGGACTTGGCCCAGAAGGCCGGTGTTGCTGAGATAGTCGGCCGCATTGTCAACAACATGAAGGATGAGAACGAAGCATACCGCAAGATGACGGTCGAAACTGTTGACAAGGTCATCAGCACCCTCGGAGCTCATGATGTCGACCAGCGTTTGGAAGAGCAGCTAATTGATGGTGTCCTCGTCGCTTTTCAGGATCAGACTATCGAGGACCCTATTGTCATCGACGGTTTTGCTACGGTCGTCAACGCACTGGGTGAGCGTACAAAGACATACCTACCTCAGATCGTCGCGACGGTTCTCGCTAGACTTAACAACAAGTCCGCTACAGTTCGTCAGCAAGCGGCGGACCTTATCTCCCGAATCACCTTCGTGATGCAGAAGTGCGACGAGGATCCACAGCTCATCAAGCTTGCGCAGGCGCTATACGAATATCTTGGTGAGGAGTACCCTGAGGTCCTTGGATCCATTCTTGGTGCTCTGCGCGCTATTGTCACAGTCGTTGGTCTCCACGCTATGCAACCGCCTATCAAAGATCTGCTGCCTCGCCTGACACCCATTCTTCGCAATCGACATGAGAAGGTACAAGAGAACACCATCGATCTGGTGGGACGCATCGCTGATCGAGGCGCAAACTATGTCAACCCTCGTGAATGGATGCGAATCTGCTTCGAACTTTTGGACATGCTCAAGGCTCACAAAAAGGGTATCCGTCGTGCTGCCAACAATACTTTCGGTTATATCGCCAAAGCCATCGGTCCTCAGGATGTGTTGGCTACCCTTCTTGGTAACCTCAGAGTCCAAGAGCGACAGTCTCGTGTCTGTACTGCCGTCGCTATCGGTATCGTTGCAGAGACCTGTGCGCCCTTTACTGTCCTTCCGGCCCTTATGAATGAATATCGCGTGCCGGAGCTCAACGTTCAGAATGGTGTACTCAAGTCGTTATCCTTCATGTTTGAGTACATTGGCGAGATGGCGAAGGACTACGTCTACGCTATCACACCACTTCTCGAGGATGCTCTCATTGATCGAGACCAAGTGCACCGACAGACTGCTGCTTCGGTAGTCAAGCATGTTGCTCTTGGTTGTGTCGGTCTCGACTGTGAAGACGCGATGATTCACTTGCTCAATCTCCTTTGGCCAAACTTGTTTGAAACCAGTCCTCACGTCATTGACCGCATCATTGAGGCTATTGAGGGTGTCCGCAACGCCATTGGTACTCCGCTCGTCATGAACTACGTTTGGGCCGGTCTCTTCCATCCAGCTCGCAAGGTGCGACAACCTTACTGGCGCA